GGTGGAAATGTGAGCTGACCTTTGTGTTATGTGACTAGTGACATAATGACTCTTACCTGTCATATTTCGTTTAGCGATCCCAATATTTCTTTCATTTATGTATTTATACCAGCCTTGAGTTACTATTCTTACTTTATGATCTGCCACACAGTAGATGCACACTGAATATTTATTGAATTAACGAGGACTACCTGACCACCATGCTACAGACTGCCACAGTCTCACAACCAGGCTTTCCCGGTCCTGGATTTGCAGACTCCCCCTTGCCTGGAGGATGGGGAGTGAGAGCTGCTGTGCCGTTTATTTGAATTTTGCCTGAAGGTCAACTCTTGCCTTTACCCTCACTGCTGGATACTGTTGTTCAGTTTGCTTTCCAGAAAATTAGAAGCTTCTGATTGGAATAATTTTGAAAGCCATTCCGTATAACTTCTCCTAGTATGCAATAATTCCGTCACACAACAAAATTAGTAAGCATTAAGGGCTTAGTCTGCCCAAATCCTATGCTACACATTGAATAATGTGTGCTTTGGGAACTGCCTTCCAACAGGAGAAGTGGAAGACACTGGGGAAAGTAATGAGGGGGATTTAGAACTATTTCTATGAGAAAAATGTCACAGAAATGTCTTCTAAAATCCCCAAGTGATTGAAAATAATTCAGAGTACTGTGGTAGGGAGCTCTTCACTGCCACTAGTGGGCAGGAAGGAGCACCTGCGAGAGAGCTATTCTTAGGCGGAAACAAGGCTTGAAAGGTTGATGACAGACTTGATTCCAGGTTCAAAGGAAAGCAGTTCATAGGCAGAGTCACAAGAGGGGGCTGTTACAGCTGCAAACCGAACGTCTTTTTAAGGCGAGTGAGGGGTTATCATTGAGATGTGCAAAGAATTTAATTTCATCCTCTTCATCACCTTGCACTTCATAATCTCACATGGTTAAGCCCCTTCCCAAGTGCACAGCAAAGAGCTGACCCCTCAGGGGAAAAAAGAGAGAGGTGATTAATAGTTTAATTTTAAATGGCCAAACATTTGTTCCTGTAGTGGAGTAAAAAGCTTACTTACTGTAGCAGAGAAGGATGAGTCCTTTTTATTTTATTCCTTTCCATTTCTGTAATAATTCCCACTTCTGAGAAGAACCGGAGAAATCCCTTTGTGTTTATTTCCTTCTCTCTTATACAATGGCTTCATTGCATTTCTCTTCCCAAATCTTCTCTTCCCATCTCGTCCTTCTCTTCTTTACTCCTTAGTCCTCAGTGCCTGCATAACACTCCTGGGCATGAGCAAGGAGATGAGAAACTGTATTAAAAAGGACTCAGTGGAATAAGAGTAAGTACCACTCAGTCATCAGTTCCTGTATCAAGACCAGAAGCATCCAACCATGTCCACCTGGAAAACGCTTAGGGCATCATTCCGGGAGCTGATGCAGGACACCTGATTGCCAGGTGACTTGGCTTTCAGGCCAGACTGTAATTTTATCATTTCCCATCAGACTGAGAGCAGTGATATTACACGACTATGAAGTTAATTTTGCCATATTTGTTGCAAATATTTTCTTCTACAGTGTCCTTTCAGTTCTAACTCAGCTTATGGTAATTTTTCTTTAGACCACAAGGAAGTTTCTAGGTTTTGAAGTTGAATTATATATTGCTGCTCCTGAGACTTTTACTTGCCCTGGCTGGGAATAGAGAGCTCTTCTTCCCAGTAGAGCCCAGGGCGTTACCTAGGTTTCCTGGATGAAAAGACATGTCAGACCAGCTCAGTGGAGCATCACACCACCAATGGGGTGGGTTGTCCCTTGTCCCACAAGTGAGGGGTAGATAATCTCTCTGTGGGTGATTTTACTCATTCAGACTCATGCAGATATAGCCTATTTGAGTTTGAACCTTGAAAATAATCTCAGTGTAAACCTTCTGAATTGGGATTAGATGTTGGTTAAACATTCTTATCCTCTTTTTAGATTAATGTTTAATCCTGCGGGTGGGAGTAGACCCAAGCCAGAGACTGCTCTGACTCTAGCTGACACCTGGCTGGGGAACACCCACGCTGAAGGCTGCCTGGGGTGGGGCTGGGTGCATGGCTGCTGTTTGGTACTCAGGACCTCCCCCAACTTAGGACCAGACACAGATCCTGAGCTCTGAGACCTGGGACTTGAACTATGAGACTGCTGCCACGGATAGCTTTTCTCCTGACTTTGGGTAAGTGATCTGGACCTAAGAGAGAATGACTTTCGTGGCTAAAGACAAAGGACGGGTGACTGCCGCTATCCCTTCTCCCACTGTGCTTCACCAGGATGCGGGAAAGAATTTGCATCTGTGTGTTTCTAGATGTCTATGTGTTTCTCTAGACAGTATGATCATCATTGTGAGAGGCCGATCACATCCACTACCTACAGAAGATCTCTTGAGCCTCACAGCTCTCAGGCTATAAGGAGTTTTAGGGGTTCAAGGGTTGTGAAAGACAGCAATTTATTTTTGGCCTTGTGGCACTGGTTAGCTCCATAATAACCACCGGCAGTATTCTGCATGTCCTGTGCAACGCACAGAAAAATATTCAGGTACGGGGTAGGGCCGAAGAGGGGAGTTCTGGGAGTGTTTAGGAACCTGCCTTTTGGGTGCACCCAGATTTGTGGTTCCAGAGATAATCTACTATTTCTCAACTCCCCAGGCACACTGGGAGACGCTAAGACCACACAGCCCACTTCAATGGAGAGCACTGAGGAAGAGCCTGTGGCCTTGCCCTGTGACCACGCCACAATCAGTGGAAATGAGTACATATATTGGTATCGACGGATTCCCCACCGGGGTCCCAGTACCTGATTCACGGTCTGAAAAGCAATGTGACCAACAGGATGGCCTCTCTGAGCATCGCAATAGACAGAAAGTCCAGCACCTTGGTCCTGCCCCGGGTCACCCTGAGAGACAGCGCTGTGTACTACTGCACCCTGAGAGAGGCACAGCAGGACCGACGGGGCTGCACCTGCGCAATATGTCCTTGGTGAGGAAGGGAAGCAGCAGCAGCCATGTAAAGAGTGCACTGCACAAGAATGAGCAGAAGCCAAAGAGAAGAAGGAAAGAAAAGGAGAAAAAAGGAAAAGGAAAGAGAAGACAGTGAGGCCATCCAGAAGGAAAGAATGAAAGGAGCAAAGAGGATGAAAAAGGAGAGCTTACATTGTAGAAGGAACTAAAATGCCTGCAAGGAAACTCGTGCCCATCCTCATCCCAGCACCTGTGACTGTCTTCTAAGTGATGCACACATTTTAGAAGATTCCAGGGGAATGTTCCCTTCAGAAGTTAAAAAAAGACATTTCCATATGAACTCAGATTGAGAAAATCCTTTGCTAGAAGATCTAGGAGATATTGGTCAAAGGGTAGAAAGTTTCAGTTATGCAAGATGAGTAAATTCATAAACCCTGGAGATCTACTGTACACACTGTGCCTACAGTTAATGATATGGTATTGTATACTTTAAATTTTTCAAGAGAGTATATTTTACGTTAGTTCTTATCACCAGAAATCAAAAATAATCATTTTAAATTAGAGCAGGAAAAACCTTTGGATGTGATCAATATGTTTATGGCATTGCTCAGGCTCATGGCATACTTTTCTTTCAAGTTATCAGCTTGAATACGTTATATATGTACAGCATTTCATATGGCACTCGTGCCTCAATAAAGTGTGGCGGTATTTTTTGAAAAATCAATACACTGAACTTCATAATATTAAAATTGCTTGCTCTTTAAAAGACACTGTTAGAAAAAATACAAACAAATGCCACAGACCAGAAGAAAATATTTGCAAAATATATACCTCACCAAAGACCTGTATCTAGAATACATAAATCTCTTACAACTTAATAAGAAGACAAACATTCAGTTTTTAAATCGGCCAAATATTTGAACACTTCACCAAAGAAAGCCTCTGTCTGGTATATAAGCATGTGAAAAAATACTCAGCATCATTACCATCAGGGAAATGAAAATTAAAACAATGAGAGACCACTACATCCCTACTAGGATGGCTCAAATTACAATGCCCGACCATCCCAAGTCTGGGAGCGGTTTCGGAGCACCTGGAGCTCTTACACGCTGCCGCTGGGAATGTACATGGTCCGATCACTTAGTTTCACTGTTTCTTAAAAAATTAACCAATTAACCATGCACCCATCATATAACCCAGCAATTCCACCTCTACGTATTAGCCCAAAAGACATAAAAGATTATATCCATACACTTATATATGAGTGTTCATAATAGTCTCAAAAATAGTAATTGGAAATAACCCAAAAGTCCATCAACAGGGGCATACATAAGTAAACTGAGGGATAGCTACACAGTGGAACGCTGCTCAGCAGTTAAAAGGACTGAGAAATACAGCAACGTGGGTAAATCTCAAAATAAATGTGCTGAAAGAAACCAGGCAAGAGAAAGCACATACTCTGTGATTGAAAACTGGAGAAATGCACCCTGATCTACAAGAAGAGAAGGCAGGCTAGTGATTACCTGGGACTGAATAAGGGTTGGAGGGATGTGGTGGGAGGGATACGGGAGAGATGATGAAGGAGGTCCACGAGGGAACTTCTGGGTGGTGCATATGGTCCTTCTCTTCATTTGGATAAAGATTCCACACTTGTATGCCCCTGTCAGAATGATCTAATTGAACCTTTTAAATATATGCAATGTATTAGATGTCAAATGTGCCTCAATAAAGCAGCTTTTAAAAAGACTAAAATCAAAAGCAGACAGAGCTCAATGTTAAAAAAAAATTAGTAGCTCAGACAGGAGACTTGTTCACTTTCTCTTAGCTACAAAGGGGAAAGTGTTTCAAGTGTGCAAGGGTAACAGGACATTTTCAGGAATCCAGGGATGGAGACCCTTCTGCAAGTATTCACAGTGATATTGGAGTTGCTGGTAACCTGGGAGTGTGTGGTTAAAGCTAGGAGAGTCAGGAAAGGATGACAGCTTTCTGAGGGCAGGAACTGAGTCATCTCCCATCCTGGGAAGCCCCTTTTGAGGGCCAGAGACAGCTGCGTCGCCCACTTCCAACAATTCTAGGTGGAGCTTTACACAAAACCAAAGAAGACTGAACAGGCTCAGAGCAGGAAATAGTTTCCTAGAGACAGAGATGCCAACATGGCTTCTCAACAAATTATGGGCATTGATAGCCTCTGTCTTCCTTGGTAGGAACTGTTGCTAATGGTGAACCTAAGGATAGTCTTGACCTGGAGGGGCTGGCAGGGAGTTTGGGGGCAGAAGAGACGAACAATGGCCAACTGTGACAAGCATTCCAGGAAAATAGGAAGGAGGGCGAAAGGAAGCCGAATTTGACTCCTTTGCCTTGATTGAAGGTTCACTCCTGCCCTAGAAGTTCTGGGCACCTTCCTTACCACTCAGCTCAGGGACTCAAGCTTGTTATTTGTCCCGTCTGCGATAGCCAGCATGTCCCCCGAAATGCTATTCTGCCAACAACATCTCGGCAGGAGGGTGAGGCCCTGGAGCTAGGCTGTTCAGATGACACCAGGATTGGATGTTGCGGATTGCGATGGCACCAAAGTCCTCCCAGGGGGAAGATGACCTTTCTCATTACTCAGCACACAGTGCAGGAACCAGTGTAACAGAGGGTCCAATTTTTGTGAAATTCTTGAAAGCAACAAAAACGATCAGGCTCATCACATCACCATCAGAAGTAGAACACCCTGCAACATACTTCTGTCATCCCAGGGCGCCTGCTAGAAAAAAAAAAAAGTGAAAGAGGAATTTACAAAACACTCAGAACACAACCAGACGCAAATGTTTTCTCCATATTCGCAGGGAAGACTCTCAAAGCTTACCCGGACA